CCCCATAAATTGGCATATTTACAGCTATCTTCCTTCCTGCTATTTTGTTCACAAATCTTAACCATACTCTCTGTGTTAGAGGCTGAATAGGTTTTGAAAGAGACACAGGAATTTAACCACCATTCATTACATCATTGTATTGGAAAGTACAACCATACCTTGAAGATACTGTGGGCTCAGTTCTAGACTACCACAATAAAACAGATATCTCAATACAGTGAATCACACAAATTTACTGGTTTCCCAGTGTATATATGTTATATTTACACTATACTAGAGTCTATTAAGCACGTAATAAAAATATGAAAGGTTTGAAATATTGTGACAATTACCGAAATCTGATACAGAGACATGAAGTGAGTGTTTGCCTCTGGAAAATGGTGTTGACAGATTTGCTTGACACAGAGTTGCCATAAACTTTCTATTTGTGAAGCACAATAAAGCAAAGCACAATAAAACTAGGTATCCCAGTATCACACCATGCACCCACCATTTAACTCAACCAATCATGTTCTCATAAAAATATAATGTTGTGTGTTTCCCTAAATATTCCACTAGAGGGACCTCTTAACTTTTCACAAATCAAATTTTAAATCTCAAAAAAACATGAATAAAAATACCAAGAGAAAAAAACTGAGGGACTTAGAAAAAGTGTTTATTTAAATTATTAAATTACCTAAATTTCCTTTGAAGGAGAAATAAAAATGAAGAGTTGAATGTAAAGACTCAAAATCAAGTAAACAAATTTCATCAAATATCTGCCAAGTACTACTGTGCTTAAGATAAGGAGGCCTGGTTGCACAGTGGTTAAAGCAAGCGCTCAGCTGCAAATGAAAGGTCAGTGGTTTGAACTTATCAGCCACTTACAGGAGAAAGATGTGGCTTCCATAAATATTACAAAACCCAATAAGGCAGCTCTACTCTGTCCTACAGGGTTGCTATGAGTCAGAATTGAGTCAACAGTGGGTTTGGTTTAGTTTTAGGTGCTTAAGAAGTGCTAGAAGTTGGGGGGGGGGCGGGAATAGCTTACACCTACCAGAGCTCTCTACACATTTATTTGGTCGTTTACAACTAGACCCAAAGCTTAATTATATTGTGTTAAAACCACAGCACAAATACATGGAGTTTACAACATTATCTATCTCCATAAGCTGAAAGCCTATAATATACATATTATCATCGCTGTTTGATACCAGTTTTATAGAGGGGTTCTTCCACATTCAACTTAGAATGCGGTTAAAAGTCTCTCAAAACAGCCAATTCGGCTAGATTGTGATAAAACTCATTCCACATCAAAAAGTAATATGGCAACATACATCAAAAACATTTTTAAAAGTTCATGTCCTTTGAACAAGTAATTTCCTTTTTTGGACTATTTGCTGAAGAAAGAATTAGAAAATTAAATACCATATGCAAAGATTAAAATGCTTTCATAATATTGAAAAACCACAAACCAATACACACAATGCAGCCATAGAATGAAATACACAATCATAAAACATTATTTTAAAAAACCTGCTCAATGACAAGAGAAAACACTCAAAATAATTTTAAGGGGAAAAAAAAAAAGATACGACTGCTTATAATATGACTGTTGTTGTTGTTTGTTGTGTGCCGTTGAGTCAGACCCAACTCATAGCGACCCCTCCTTGGGTTGCTGAAGCAGGATCGCTACGGAAGTAGACTGCCCAACCTTCATATTTAAATAATCCTAATTTAAAAAATTTGTATTAAGAAAAATAAAGACTAGAGAAAAATGTAACATAATGCTGCTAATAGTTATCTTTAGGTAGTTATTTGAAATGCTTTATTTCCCCTTTCTTTATCCTCTATACAAATTAAATCATGAACATAATTTTATATTAAAAAAAAAAGTAGTATAATAATATCTATCTATATCCTAATACAGGAGCTCTGGTAGCACAGTGCCTAGGGCACTTGACTGCTAATCAGAAGGCTGGCAGTTCAAACCCACCAGCCACTCCTCAGGAGGAAGATGGGGCAATCTACTTCCGTAGTGATACTGCCTTGGAAACCCAAGGAGCGGTCGCTATGAGTTGGGTCCGACTCGATGGCACATAACAACAACACATATCCTAATATCTTATTTATTGAGAAAAATTCCTATTTACAAATGCACATTTTTTTAGTGGCAGTTCAAATTATATCAAAGGTAATGAATGACAAGTCATAACAAGTTTCACAGCATCTTAAAACCTGACAGTGGAATTCCAAAATGAAAAGATTAACATAAACACAAGCCTAAGTGTGTAAGAAGGGCATTAACATTTCTAGGTAAAATAACATCACTTGACAAATTAAGGAATAGAATTAAATTAATCCAGAATCTTTGGTTAAAAAAATATATATACATTGAAATTTTTTTAAAAAGCAGGCAAAACCCAATCTGAAACACAATTATAGGGAAACAACATGAAGGTCCTTTCAATTTTTTTTTTAAACTAAATTCAGACAGTTCCCAACTCATGTATATACTAATTATTATGTAAAAGAATGGTCATGCATGAGGGCTTCCAGTAACTCCTTTGTTGCTTATCTTTACTAAAACTATCTCTTGCACCCTCTACTGATGCCTGGCTTGGACCCAACTCATTCCAACCTTGAGTCTGTGTTTTCTTTTTACCTCATCCTACTACTGACCTTCGGAAGGAAGGTTGGGCAATCCTACTTCCGTAGTGATACTGCCTCGGAAGCCCAAGGAGGGGTCGCTATGAGTCGGGTTTGACTTGACGGCACATAACAACAACAACAACAACTACTGACCTAAGGAGCTCTGGTGGTGTACTGTTAATCAAAAGTTGAGTGGTTCAAACCCACCAGCTACTCCGTGGAAGAAAGATGAGGCAATCTGCTTTGGTAAAGATTTACAGAAACCGAATGGGGGTCGCCATGAGTTGGAATCAACTGGATGGCAGTGAGTTTGGTTTTGGTCTATGTCATGACCCACAGCTATAATCAAATGCTAGGGGAGGGAAATGAGAGGGGGTTAATAATCCTTCCCTATTAACCCCTGCCTCTTCCTTAACTCTAACTTACTACCAGCAAGTAGGTTTACCGGTCAGGTTCTATCTTACCCCCAAGCCCTATCTCATCTCTTTCTTACTGCCATCAAGTCGTTTCTGACTCATAACGACCCCTCCTTGGGTTTCCGAGCTGGCATCTAGGTGGTATTTCTATGGAAGTAGATTGCCCAATCTTTCTTCTGAGGAGTGGCTGGTGGGTTTGAACCACCAGCCTTCTGGTTAGCAGTCAAATGCCTTAGGCACTATGTTACCAGAGCTCCTATCTCATCTCTCTAGTCTTCCAAATAATAATAGTTAGTAGATTTTCAAGAGTCTCAGAATTACTCCAAAATGTAGAGGAATCTTCCTGGAGGAGTTTATGATCAACCATAACACATCTGTGCAGTTGTCTCTCTAAGAGATGTAATAGAGGAAGAAAAAAGAGAAAAAGCAGGATAGCACAGGATCAGTTTTTCCTACTGCTAGAAGTAAAAACACTTAAATATCTCATAAACAACAATTTGCTTACTTTGGATTCCCACACGAGAGTAATGATAATCCAAAACCTTATCTTAGCCTGTGCTCTTTCTTCCTAGAATATTTTAGTCCATGCTTCCTTTTGCCTCCTCAATCTAATGCCTTTTTTGGTCTCCATCTCCACAATCCATCTAGCAATTCTCTCTCTTAAGACTGAGCTCCACAATCATACCCCCTCCTTAATCGAGATCTTTGTGGATCCTTATTTTTTAGCTATCTAATCTATGACTTATCAATGTTCTCATCTAGGCCAAAATTTAAAATGAAGCAAACAAGGTTAAAGACAAACCCTATAATATGTCATTAGAGACTTCTTGCAGAATGACACTGATTTAATTAATTAGGAAAGACAGATAAATAAAATTTATTGGGAAATGTTTGATGGGAGATAGATCTGACAAGCTGATCCCATAAAAATTATAGTCTAGAAAACCCTATGGAGCAGTTCTACAATGTGACATGGGATTGCTAAGAGTTAAAATCAACTGGGTGACACCTAACAACAATAATCATCAGGCACCGAGCTAGATACTTTAAACACTCACCTTAAGTCTCCCAAAAAACTCTAACAGGTAATAGCAACATTCCAGTTTCAGATAGAGAAATGGGTTCAGACAAGTTAAGGAAATTTAACAAGATACAGACCTTCTAACCTAAGTGCTAGAATCTGAATCCAGATCTATACTTCTTATCACCTTGTCTTAGTATCTTTTGGATATCTCCACATAAGTCATGAATCAAATTAAAAACTCAATTCACACTTCTCTTTTTTGAAAAGCATAAAGTCTGTTATTACATAACATGTATGATGAAAAACCTATGCCAGTTTCATTTCCATTTGCAAGTACTCAGATCATTCTGGAATTATCTAATTGGACTGACATCAAGCTCTCTAGTATTTTTTTTTTAAACTTTTTATTGTGATTTGGGTGAAAATTTACAGTGCAAATTGGTTTTCCATTCAACAGTTCATATATATTTTGCTTTGTTTTCAAAATCCACTTTTCCCATTTTAAAATCAGAATGACACACATCTATCTTTAACCTTCTAGCACCTTTCCTGTCATCAAATTTCCCAAAAATTACTTACAGTAGTTTTAGCACGTTCTCTTAGTACTCTGATATAAAATTATTGAAATAAATGACAAACATTAGATAATTGTTTTCTCACATGCTACTTACCTACCTCAGTTAGCACTCTCACCAATGTTGCTTGTACCCTTTCCATTATTAATATACATTCTCTCATACAGAATATTCTAAAACAAAAATATTGAGCAATTTGATTTTCTCTATCTGCATACACTAACACCAAACAGTAGGCCCAGATTTTTAACATAAAATTAAGGTAATTAAATACATGATACTTTTGGTACATGTAGTAATGATTTATATAAACTCTAAGAATATAGCTATTAAAATTCTAATTTTATTGCTTACTTTTAAATATCCAGCTGCCTCTTGGACAGAAAGCGTTCTCTGACTAGAACTGCCACATTCATGATCTCCTGGAAAGATCAACATATTATTAGTTTTGAATCAGTATTATGTGAAACAGAATAAAACAAATAAGATTAATTCAAAATATTTTTCAAATTACACAATTATAGGTTATATTACAATCTATATATTGTATTACCAAGTTTAGAAAACTACATTTTTCTTTTCTTGTAACTGTTTATAAGAAGGGAATCCAAAGCCTTATCTTATAAGCTGTATGTGATTATTAGAGATACATTATTGTTAATATTGAACTTCAATTTTAAGTTTTTCCTGTAATTTCTGTTAAGCAGTTTACAAACATTTTTCACATATAAGTACAATAAAATAAAATCTTTGGCAAATTTTTCTGCAATAAAAGTAACCATGTTTTTTGTTCAAAAAAATTTAATAGCTATAAAAAAAGAAGTGCTCAACTAGATGAACAAGTCTTTAAAATTTAGAATGCCTCTTCAGAGATTCAGATTCTATATACCTAAAGCCAAAACCAAACCAAACCCACTGCCAATGAGTTGATTCCAACTCATAATGACCCTACAAGACATAGAAGAACTGTCCTATAGGGTTCCCCAAGGTATAAATCTTTACAGAAGCAGCTGCCTCTTTCTCCTATACAGCAGCTGGGGAGTTCAAACCACTGACTTTTTGGCTAGTAGCCAGATGCTTTAACCACAGCATCATCAGAACTCCTTATACCTAAAGCAAAAGTCAGCAAATTACAGCCCATAGAACAAATGTGACCTGCTACTGGTTGTTATAAATTAAGTTTTATTGGCACATAGCCATGCTTCTTCATTTATGTAGCATATATGACTGCTTGCCATATATAATGGCAGAGCTGAATAGCTGTGACAGAGGCAGTCTCAACTGCAAAGCCTAAAATTATTTACTATCTGGCCCTTCACAGAAAACTTTGCTGACCCCTGCTTTAGAAGAAGAAATCTGTATCTCTAAAAGTTCCCCAGATTATTCTGACCTAGTGGACCAAGAACCACTTCATAAAACAACGCTATAGAAACAGCTACAGAAGCTTGTGGGTGGTAGAATTCCTTACTAGAGGATATGTTGTTGTTATGTGCCGTCGAGTCGGACCCAACACATAGCGACCCCTCCTTAGGTTTCCAAGACAGTATCACTACAGAAGTAGATTGCCCAACCTTCCTTCTGAGGAGTGGCTGGTGGGTTTGAACCGCTAGCCTTCTGGTTAGCAGTCAAGTGCCTTAGGCACTACGCTACCAGAGCTCCTACTAGAGGATATACTTAATCCATTTCTGGGCACTACAGCCTACCAAATGTCATTAACTTGCAGCATATGAATATGAATGTACAAGCAGTGTAAAGAATGCTTTTAACAATACAAAAAGAATTATAAGCCTAAAAAACTGTCTAGAACTAAGGAACGCTTCAGAAAAAAAAAAAAAAAAAAAAAGAACAAAGATTGGTGAGAAAACAGGCAATTGTCAGGATCCTAAATGTCCCCCATTCAACCAGAGATGGTCCACTTTTACCTACTTAATTTCTACCTGTATTGGCTTCTACATAGGGATCTGCTCTGCACAAAAATTTGGAAAACTACATTTTTCTTTTCTTCTAATTGATTATTAGAATCCAAAGCCTTTTCTTTCAAGCTGTACATATTCTAGGAGAATATATTAATTTTATCCAAGGGAATGACACCTATACAAGCACCAAAAAGGAATGTACATTTGTATTTAATCCAGGATTTTAGTTAATTCATTGCCTACTCAATTCAACTGATATTTAAGCTTTCATAATTTTACTATTAACGTAAATATTAAACTATTAAAGAGATATGATTGACTTTAATATTATATAATACAGTGCACGTGTGTGCAAATTACATATAATACATATGGCAGAAAGGAAACAGCCTTGATTAACTATATCTATAAAAATTAAAAGGAGCTCTGGTGGCATAGTGGATAAGGCACTTGACTGCTAAATGGATTATCAGTGATTCAAACACACCAGCTGCTCTGCGGAAGGAAGATTGGGCGATCTACTTCCATATAGATTTACAGCCTCGGAAACCCAATGGGGGTCACTCTAAGAGTCGGAAACGACTCAATGGCAATGAGTTTGGTTTGGTTTATAAAAATTAAAAATTACTCCATATACGTAATAAAAACTTCTAAAGAGAAAATATTCCACAAATGTAATGTAACACTGGAGTCAAGAAAACTTCTACTGTCATAGCATGCTACATATACAAATTAATTTTTCAAAAGATTTTCAGACTATGAATGTTAAAATAATTACCTGCAAGCTGTGCCAATCGATCATGAAGCTTGTATAATGTGTTCATCATAAGATTTTTTTCCCTTTCCTATAATTAAGAAAACATGTTATAAATTATCCAATTCTAAGAAAAAATACGTGCCAAATAATTGATGTTATTAAAAATTTTTTAAACTCCTGAAAGCTGCATAATCCCCCCAAAAAATTCATATTTAAATAATGGCCACTATATTTTTTAAATCCTTAATCTAGGAATCTAAGTCACCACTCTTAATTTTTACTTTCTTGAGGATGGCTGGGAATTTGGCACTAAGGTTGGTGCTAAAAAAGGTTTTACACACAATGAACTCCCCACTCTCCCACCACCAAAGCAATGCTCTGGAGCTCCCCTCTATACATTGTATCCTTAAGTATATTGTTCTCATGAAAGATTGTTTTCTTCAATGCTGCCCCTCATTTTTTTTTTTTTTTAAATCAGACTCAAACCATATAAAAATAAGGGAATGAGTATTGATGCATTAACTGACCTTCAACCTCTCCCAGGTTCCCAAAGTGTCCTCCTATAAACTCATGAACCATTAAAATGAAACAAACATTTAGTAATCTACTAGGAGTTAAGAATTGTTCTCCAAAAAGTGAGGGAACAAGAAGTTTCCTGCTCTCAGGGCAGATACTTATCAAGCATTGTATTACAGCTGTAAACAAAGTAAAATGCAAATAAAGAAGAGGGTAAAAAGGGAAGACCCATTTATGGATGAGAGAATATCTGAGTTGGGCTTCATCGGAAAAACAGAATTGACCAGAATTCCAAGCAAAAGGAACAAAAGCAAAAGCATCAAGGCATGAAAGCACTGATTCTACTTCTTACATAACCAGTAGCCTAGTTTAACTCAGCAAACTACTGGAAAAGTGGTTTGGAGTCAAATGCCAAAGAGCCCTGGATGCCAAAACAAAGTTTGACTTCCTTCTGAATATTTAGGATGAAGAAAGAAAGATTGACTTATGAATCAAGAATATTACTATGGCCATAATGTGTAAGTTAGCACAGAAGCAGAAATAACTATGAAAGGAATCAGAGGAAACTATTATACAGGTATAAGCTAAGTACCTTGCCAACTACTCTAAAACAGTGAGATCTCCAATTTAAGAGCAACTGCAATTTAGAGAGACCGTATTAGTGATAGGTAATAGCTACCACACTATCTGAAATAAAGTCATGATTCATAAGAGGACTGTATCTTTTTTATTTCCTTTCTTCCTGAAGGGATGAACAAAACAAGATTACACAATAAGTATTACCAGGGAGCAAATTCAAGAGGCTATAAAAAGTCGGGAAAATGACATGACCACATCCATTTGTTTTTATGCTATATGGTCAAAGGGGCAGAATAGAAACAACTTTTGCACACTACGGGTGGCATGCTTTTCTCAGTGCAGTCTGTGGTCCAACATACCCTTTTATATGGTCTTTCTAGTCATGGTCTTATAACTTCCACAAAATGATTGGCTGGGACTATACAAATTGAATGACTTATGGTATACCTAGGGGACTGGTCAGTTTGTAGTCCTGCCAAGGGGCCATGCACTAAAAATGACACAGAGTTTGCTTATATAAGGGTAAATCTCACAGAGGTTAAGGGTGACCTCACTACTATCAAGAAGAGTCTGCAGCAGAGCGCATCCTTTAGACCAAGAGCTTGATGTCCCTGCACTAAGAAACTTCCAGACTCAGAAAAAAAAGCTCTAATACTGAAGATGGTACTTGATGGCAAGAGATAGCAGCAGTGGGCTTCACAGCCCAAAGAGTGAGGTAGCTGTGATGAGTTTGCTGGCCTATGGAGTGAAAGCTGAGCACCTTTGGGCAGTCCTGCCAGTAAAACCAAAAGAGCTAACACTTGCCCATGCAGGACAGAGGCCTGCATATGCCCTATGCAGGGGATCCTTCAGAGGATCCAGTGTAGGGATCCCTCCCCTACAGCAGGGTGCAGGTGGGTATCTTTGGGCAGGTGGCATGTCAACAGAGCTAAAAGAGATGTAACATTTGCTTGTGCGGGCAAGAAAGGCCTAAGCGTACCCTGTGCAGAGGATGCATCTCTTCCCCTGGGCAGCTTTCCCTTTGGGCAGTAGGGGCCCAGGTAACCTGGTAGCAAGAAAGCCCTGCAGGCCCAGGTAGTGTGGTGAGAGCCAGTAACAGAGGCTAAAGAGATTCCGTGCAGGGGTCTTCCTCTGGAAAGGCCAGGCCCAATGAGGCTCACTGGCAGAGCAAAAGGCTTGGGCAGCATAATGGTAGCTAGAGGCAGCAGTGACATGAACACAGCATCTCATCTGAACCACAGAACAACTGCCCAGCGACTTAAGAACAGACATGGGTAATTTGGGGGAAGGGTAAGAATTTCACCTTTGAAAATCTGTTATTGTTTACTGTTAGTGTTCTATAAATACAGCGAAACCTGTGAAAGCTAGAACTCGATGGGACTGCCTTCTTTTGTGGGTCTTCAAAGTTTTCCCCTTTGACAAGATGCAGTCTTACCACTCTTCTATTGCATCTTTTACTGGGAAATACTTGAATTTTCCTTCTCTGACAACTTTCCACCTTACACAGGCTCCAGCTTTCACAGATTTTACTTTAATAATAATGGCTTTCACTTAGCCAGCACTGTTAAAATGTCTCGTGTGTCTTACTCGATCACAGATGAATGTAGCACACACAGGATGGCTTATGCCAGTGGGTGTATGTGTCCCATTCCTAGTAGTCTTATAGCTTATAGCCTGGAAGTCTGCAGCACAGCCTGTCTACATCTGTAATGCAGACAGACAGAGCATACACAGCTTTAATCAGTGATACTAGGAATAAGAAATCTCATCAGAACTCCAGCATGCTACTATTGGAGTCTGGTTTTGTGTGAGGTGATCAACGTGAGCTAAATGACTTACTTCTTCAGCTCAACTACTTGCTCTCCAACCCTTTTGTTGTTTCCTTCTCAACTCTATCAGAACCAGATTCTGAATCAAGTCAGATTCACATAAGCTTAAAAATCCAAACTGTAAAAATTAGAAATCAAATAAGTAAATATAGGGTTAAGACCCAGCATTCTGAAAGCTATGCATTTGTGATACATTATACTATAAAATTTTAATATGTTCAACATAATAGGATAACAAGAGTTCCAAAGATAGTGTAGTTTATGGACTTGATACATAAAAGCAAAGTGAATCTTATTAAACTTTGGGATTAAAGTAGCTGAGATTTTTGATGTCTGCTTCTTCTCTTACATGGAAAAGAGACTGATTTTCTTTTTGTTTCACATGTCCTGATCATGCCCAACCCCAACTCTCCTTTCAAATATGAAAAAACCAAACTCACTGCCATTGAGTCAGATCCGACTCATAGTAACCCCTCCTTGGGGTTTCCAAGGCGTTATCACTACAGAAGTAGTTTGCTCAATCTTTCTTCCGAAGAGTAGCTGGTGGGTTTGAACCACCAGACTTCTGGTTAGCAGTCAAATGCCTTAGGCACTATGCCACCAGAGCTCCCAATACTGTACTAGGTAAGCAGAGAAACAAAACCTAACCAGATATATGGAGTTCATATTGTATGAGATAATATACATACTGTTCCATTCTCATACAAAGAATTTAAGCACACAAAAAACACAAACTGGAATTTTTTTCAAGAATTTTTCTTTCCAATGTCAATTTATTTAAAATGGCCACCTATATATTATAAGGATCTCAAGTGACACCCAAACAACCAACTACTTATGATCTAAATAGCTGTATGTAAATACTGGTTTCCCTAACCACTCTGTAAACTACTCAAAGATGTACAAATGAATCCATATTTAAAGTAAGCTGCCAAGTAATCCTTCATTAAATAAAAAATAGTGTCATAATATGAAAGCCCCTTTTAATTGTCTATTTTGGTAAGATTCAGATTCTCTTTAAGCAATGTTACCATTTTCTAAAGCAAAGTGCTTATTCTGGGGGTGGGGGGATGATCACACTTGTAGAATGACTCTACAAATTTTCTCATACACTGGCACTGTTAAATATTTCCCTCTTCTATTCACAATCAATTTTCTCCTCAAAGATATTTTAATTGCTTATATCAAATCTCTGACTAAATGATAATAGTGGGTTTTAAACACTTAGTACAGCCAGAACAAACACTTAATATAAATGGACTGCCATTATCTTCATTATAACTATTATTATCATTCAAAGGTTTGGAACTTCAGTTTCCCCCATTGGGAAAATTATACAGGAGAAAATAAACTCTTGTGTTTCTAATGTTCAGTGATTATATTGCAATAAATTTAAATTATCATGCCAGTACTAAGGTTATACTTAATACTGCAACTGATAATTTTTTATAAGCAAATGACAATAACATATTGCTAAAAATAATTACTTCAAAGTCCCACTCTAACAATCTAAAGTAATGTTCTGTAGATCTGATTATACATTATTTTATATCCTTCAGTGTAACAAATGTTTTCTATACAAGTCTATGTAACAGTCAGGTCCCATAATAAAAAAATTAACAATTAATTGTGTATTAAGATATTTTAAATTCAAAAATCTTAATCTCCAAAATATATATAAGTGAAAAATATTTTCATGTAAAGAAAATTTATGTTAAAATCAGAATTTAGCAACCTTTAAAGGAAAACGAATTATAAACGCGTAACCTAAGGGATATATTTCCTATCTAAAACCTATGGCTTCTTAATGATTGAAGAGGCATGCCAATGTGCAATGGATAAAAAAAAAAAAAAAAAAAAAGATGAGGGCAAAGGGGACAAAGACTGCAAGGGAATCCAACAACTTAAGACAACAGGTTCACTTCTAAAGGTAAAACCAGATCCCCAGAAGACATGCTACCGCCTTTTATTGGAAGTTGGTCTTTACATTAAAGTCACAATAAACAGTGCTTCGCATAAGAGCAAATCTTAATCATATTTAATTATAATTAAGGAATAATTAGAATAAGAAAAAATTGCTTCAGCCCAAAAAACCCTAAACATTTACTATTTTTTTAAAGCTGATACCATCCTAATACTTTTAATCAAATAAAATATGGCAGCAAATATTAGTATTATAATCTTTTACTTACTTGTATTTTTCCAAATGTTTCATCAAAGGGATTTTTTACTATCAAGGAAAAAAAAGAGAAACTATTAGCATTATTTAAGAGTATTATGGAATAGGAATCCTCCTAAACAAGCCCTCTGAAATGTCACTATGTAGTTTGCTAAAACTGAACATAAATATTTAACAAAATGAAAACAAACTCATGATAATAAAGGTTGAGGAAGTAACTTCAGATTTGCCAGACTTACCATTCTCACTTTGAATGTCTAGTTTTTCTGTGTAATTATTGAGAGTAGTTGCTCTGGTGTCAGCAGGGCTAGGTTCAAGTCACAGCTCCACCATACACTATCAATATGACTTGAACTAACATCTACTTAGCACTCTTAAGTAGCCAAACCAGGAGCCACTAATGGTTTCAAACTTTGACATTTTGGTAGCAGCTAAGCACCTACCTTACATAGTTGTTGTGAGGATCAAATTGTTATTGTTGTTGTTGTTGCTATTAGGTGCTGTGGAGTTGTCTCTGACTCACAGTGACCCCGTGGACAACAGAATGAAACACTGCCTGGTCCTGTGCCAGCCTCACGATCCCTGCTATACCTGAGCCCATCGTCGCAGCCACTGTGTCAGTCTATCTTGTTGAGGGTTTTCCCCTTTTTCGTTGACCCTCCACTTTACCAAGCATGAATGATATCCTTCTCCAGGGAATGGTCCCTTCTGACAACATAACCAAAGTAGGGGAGTTAAAGCCTGGCCATTCTCACTTCCAAGAAGCATTCCGGCTGCACTTCTTCCAGGATGGATTTGTAGTTCTTTTAGCACTCCGTGGTACTTTCAGTATTCTTCACCAACACTACAACTCAAAAGCATTGACTCTTCTTCAGTCTTCCTTATTCATTATCTAGCTCTCACGTGCATATAAAGCAATCAAAAATACCAGGATTGAGTTGGGCACAACTTAGTCTTCAAGGAGACATCTTTGCTCTTTAGCACTTGAAAGACGTCTTTTGCAGCAGATGCACCCAATGCAATAGTCTTCTGATGAGGATCAAATTCCAAAACCCACTGTGTGGAGTTGGATCCAACTCACAGTGACCCCACCTTGGGTTTCCGAGGCAGTATCACTACGGAAGTAGACTAACCAATCTTCCTTCTGAGGAGTGGTTGGTGGGTTTGAACCACCAGCCTCCTGGTTAGCAGTCAAATGCCTTAGGCACTACGCCATGAGAGCTCCCGAGGATCAAATTAGAGAAACCATATAAAATGCTTGGCATAGTGCCTAGCACTTAATATGCACTCGATGTTATGCTATTGGTCGGAATTGAATCGACGGCAGTAGGTTTTTTTTTATTGTTTGTTTTTTTAATTGCTATTATTTAAGGAATCTTGGTAGCACAGTGGTTAAAGTGATTGGTTGCTAACTGAAAGGTCAATAGTTCAAACCCATCAGCCTCTCCATGGATGAAAGATGTAGTAGTCTGCTTCTGTAAAGATTACAGCTTTAGAAACCCTGTGGGGCAGTTTTACTGTATTATAAGGTTGCTATGAGTCAGGATTAACATGATGGCAATGGGTTTGGTGTTGTTATTAGTAAGGAGCCCTGGTGGCACAATGGTTAAGATCTAGGCTGCTAACTGAAAAGTTGGTTTGAACCCACCAGCTGTTCTGCAGGAGAAAGATGTGGCAATCTGTTTCCATAAACATTCCAGCGTAGGACCATGGAACAGTTCTACTCTGTCCTACAGGGTTGCTATGAGTTAGAATCAACTCACCAGCACATAACAACAACATTATTACTACTGTTGATGACTGTATTATTTGTTTTTACTTTGATTTGATTTGTCTTTAAAACCCATACTAAAGAAAGCAATTAACAACTTGAGTAAGATTCTTTAAAAGTGAATAATTCTTTTAGAATTCTTTCTGATGAACTTCCTAATCCTTGCTAATTTCTGAAGCAGCAGCAAGAAAAAAAAAGTACAAAGTAGCTAAGAATTAATTTAATTAAATAATCCAAATTTCCAACAAAATATTACATTGTAAGAAAAGTATTTACCACTTTTCCATCCAACCTCATCCCAAAAAAGATACAAACAAGTTTATTGCTGAATATTTAACGTCTCTTGAGGTTATCATTCAGAACCTATTCCTTATCACCTTTTTTCTTTTTATGAAATAAAATCAAGACTAACTTATCCAACAAAGTCAAGTAGTTCACACTGACCAGGTTTCCTTTCTGAGGTGCTTTTCTATTTTTATTTGAGAAAACAGGAAGTGCCATAGGAACCAGGAACTGCCTAATTCTAAGAAAGTTCATGTGTGAGACCAGTTTAACAAGGTACAATAAAAAGCAAGGAAAAAAATGTATCCTGTTATCATCTAAAGGAATTTTGCTAATACATTCTTATACAACATTATTCTATACAGCAAAGGGGTTTTAATACTGGGGAAAAATTCTTTTTGAAAGATAGGAGATAAAAACTACTGAAAAGGAGGACAGCGAGAAAAAAATATAAAGACTAACTAAAATGTTGATAATCAGAACACGTTTGGACTAAAAGGGATACTGTTTAATAATATTATTTTTTTAAATGTAAAATTTGAACAATTTAAAATAAAGCTATATCCACCTCAAAAATATTGCCAAAAAATGTCTTATCAATCTGATCACAATAAATTGGTCAAATATATTTAAAAGCAAGTATTTTATCTGCTCTTTGTATGAAGTACAATCCTAAAAAAATATATAAAATCATGGAATTCCATAAAACAGAGTTTAACATCTATGAAGAAAGGCCATGAATACAAAATTCTTGGTTGAATACAAAATATTTCTATGTAGTGAAGACTATCAAATGGAAAACTACCTCTTCAAGTACCTTTATTAAAGCATTTATTGTATATTGTAGATGTTCACCTACCCAACTGCTCTATACTCTGAGTTTCTCAAGACAGAGACTATGTTGTTACTCACATTTGTGTGGTAACAGTCAAGCACAGTATCAGACATACAGTTAGTGCTATCAATACCATGTCCACTTTTCTTTATTCTATTGCATATGTTAACAATGAAGCAAAAGTGTTAAATTCTACAGGAAGTTGCAAAGGGGTATGTTCTGAGCAACTGGGACAAGAGAGGAAAGGATGATCCAAAGAAGGCAAAAAAGGTTTTTAATTTCTTTCTATTATTTCTGCCTCTTGTCTGATGGGGCAAGACACCAGCATAGGACATGTCTAGAAAACCAACAGAGTAGGATATGTCTAAAAACCACCATCAATATGTTCTGTTAAAAACATGTTCCTCAAATGTTTATGACAACTATCACCAATTAAAATTAACAGGCAGACATGTTGAATTAACAATATCAAAAATAAAAACTGGCCTTGAGGGTAAGTTTTAAAAAGGAAATTACATCTAAAAACATCAATTCTAACAAAGCTAAAAGCTCTCTAATTGCTGAAAGAAGTATTTTTTACATCTAACTTTTCTTCCCCTAAATTATTTCAGTATTCCTAAAAACATATCACAATCTTGTATCTCATCCAAATATCTACAGTCTTTAAAAGAAACAACACATATATTTTACCTAATGAAAATATCTCATTAGGCATCTGTATGGGAGAAATTTTATTCCAAAAGCATCCTACAGCAAAAATTTACCATCACATTTATTAGTCAGTCTCTCTTGTAGGGACTGACCTAAGACTAAGTTACACTTCTTAGCCCTTACCCTAACTAAAGCAGTAATGATGCCAACATTTATTCTGCTATCACCTAAAGACACAACCTGGAAGCCATATTTGACCCAGTTCTGTCTTCCTTTATACCCAACACACCCTCAATAATTTCTGATTATTGTTTTTTTCTCAAATTCTCCTGGTTTGGCTTATTTTCCCCCAACTTTCTTAATTATTTCAAACCCAAATACATCAAAATTTTCTTTGTAAATGTCTTCTTTTCCTTTTAAATTATCCTAATGACTGTAAAAAAATAAAATAAAAATTTTTAAACCGTTTCTTTAATTATACTACTAGATTCCTCAAAATCTTCCAATGGTTTTCCATCACCTTTTGTTTCTGATACTTTCCTACTTACATATAAGGCACATATTGTTGATTCTTTCTCCAACTTTTTCTCACCAATTCCAAAAATGTTACTAATTTCACTGATCCTTTCTGCCAAATGTATGCTTTTCCCATTCTCTTAAGTCTAAATCAAATTTATCAACTGTTATGAATTCCCAGGTAAAGAGGGAAAAATTGTGAACACATCTTTCAGTTGATACCATTTAAAACACACTTTTATGTTGACCAAATAAATTAACTGATGTTCTTTCAGAAAGGCTTCCTTTAGGTTACTCAGTGGCAGTAGGGGAAGAAAAGTATGTAGTGACCAAAATTTTTTTTACAGGTCAGAAAGAAAGATAAAAGTTTATTTACTTAAATATTTATTGAGTACTTACCCTGTGTTAGCACTGGGAACGCAGCAATAAATAAAACATAAATATCCCTGCCTTCATGGAACTTAAGTTTGTTCTAGAGAGGATAGAGAAACAATGAACAAATACATTTTAAAATATGTAATATGTAAGATGTGGTAAATATTTTGGAGGAAAAGAAATAGGAATTGCCCTTGATTTGTCAGGGAGGAAATCAATTTTAAATGTGGTCAAAGAAAGCATCACTAAGAAAATGGCACGTGAACAGACATTTGAGGGAGGAAAGGGAATGAGTGGGCTCATATGGATATCTGAAAGAAGAGGTTTACAGACAGAAAAAATACCAAGGGTAAAGGCCATCAGGTAGCAGCACGTGTAGCATATTATTCCTGGAAATGGAAGGATTCCAGTGTGCCTAGATCCGAGTAGATGAGGGGGCAAGTAGTAAGAAATTGAATTAAACTGATAAAATTATTTAAGGAAGCCAGTACATACAGATCACACAGGACCTTGATGAAGAGTGAAACGACTTTTATGTTTTATTTTATATTTTATTCTGAGTGAAAAACTTCAGTGAGTTGGGAGCGTATGTTATTTGGCTTCTCTGGGATAAATTTAAGA